AAGGATTATGGGTAAAGTATGACATTATAGAATCTGTTGTCAGAAATTGAGGAAATTATTTCATCTATAACATGAGAAATACTGATGCGAATTAGTTCAAATTTTTGTTGTGCATATTACTCATGTATATAATTATAGTAATGAAAATTAGAATATTACAAATACACATCAAGTGAAGATATTGCTAAAAAACGTTAAAAAAATTAAAATCAATATTTTAGTCGTGAAATATAGAATGTCATTTGTTTGTCCCCTTTTTGTGGTCAATATGTAATATATCACATATACAACCTACTCACATTGGTAAATTATATACAATATAAGGAAATTTGAGCATTTGGTAGAATAACATAAAAATAAATATTTTCAGTTCAGTTTCCATGACAACTATTTTATAAACATGGATGGCACCAGAACATGTATGCTACCAATTTCCAAACTTTCAGCCAATTTGAAGTTCAACTTTTGAAGTTATATTAGTGAAATCATTTTCTCATTTTCTAACAACAGATTATATGATGTCATACTTTACCCATAATTCTTTGCTTGAAAATCAAGATGGCTGACTACATAATACTGATGAAAAGTTGAATACCTTGAGAATGAAAAGTGATATAAAAAAACTGTAAATTGCATTCTCCTATATTTGCTGAGCTTTTTCTTTAAAGGTCATTATGTTGTTTGGATTGATGTTTCCTTTAAGAACCAGTGAAATTACTCAAAACATCAAAATAGTGAAATTAAATGCCAGTGAAAATGAAGGGTTTTAAAGTGTAGTGGTTAGCGTGGACACTGTGATATATCTTACCTTTACACTCAGTGTAGTTAATCGACTTTAATTTCCATTGATTATTACAACTGCACAGTTGACAGCGCATTGATTCATGCGCTTGTAACACTTGACAACAAAAGTAATCCTGTGTTGCCAATTTTACTTGAAATTATTTTATATATTTATAATTTTGTCAAATAACATCTATTTCAACCACATTTATATTGACTGTTATTTGTGTTCATTTGTGAGAATCGATTGAAAATTTATAGTAGGAATCAATACATACTGTTACGAAATATTACAGTGAGAAATGGACAATACACTAGCAATTTAATATACACATAACAAGGTGGCTGTAATATATATATTTAGGTTTTATTGAACTCCATTATAGTACAATTTCTATAGCGTAACAGTCATCAAATCAGCAGCGCGTTTAACATAAATTATACTGTGATTCACGTGACTTGTTCATTTAAATTCGCATTAATGTACATTAATTAACCTTTCAACTTTAGTATGTGATGTAGATAAAACGTAAAAAATGGTACGTATATAACAATACAACGATATGATCTCCTATAATTATAAAACGACGTCAACGCGTGACATTTCCAGTACTGTGTATTTAGACAATAAAAGCTTTCAGCGCAGACACGATCACAAAGACCGTAGCATCTTACTCAAAATACAGAACAGCGATCGCTGTAATGGTGACAAGGACGCTCTTAACTGTGTACAGTCTGCAACAACAAGTACACGGCGTGCCGTCTCTAAGCTGAATTTTAATTAACGAAACCTTACTACGCGATAGACCGCAAATACAATCGGTTGTAAAACAGAATATGTTAATAATATAAAACTCTGTCTAAACATTTGTTTTAGAGAATATATCAGAACACTTTACACAATCCAGTATTAAAATGATGAAATGGCGTTATTGTAAAGTTGCCCCAACGGTCTATCCGTTTGTTTCGTCCATCGTGGGCGCGGTTTTGCATCGCTGGGAATCGTGTGACCAGGGGCTGTCTCACACCACGTGTTTCTAATACGAATTCCTTCAGATGCAATAAATATGTAATTAATTGTTAACCATCTTGTTAAAACATATACATGATGATATTGTCCCTGGCCGGATTGTAACAACTTTCAGAATTGTTTTTCTCGCATTTCAATACATTGTATTCTAGATATAAAAACACACATATTAAACGCAAATATGAGTCACTATGTATTGTTCCTATTTCGGTGGTTTCCTATTCCGAGATGGTTCATCTGGAAACAGTGTGCCAATCGATTGAAATATTTGACATACTTAAAGAAATGTTTGAGCATGATGAGCAACAAATATTCGCGAAAAATAGAAATGTAGAGATTTTGGATAAATGTGCAGGCAGTCTAAATTTGAGAGCTAATATAAAAATGTAAAAGTAAGCGACTCAGGAACGCAGATAAAAGAAGTGTTGAGGTAAAAGATATTGTGGGCGTTACCTAAGACACGCTCAGAATGATACCAAATTATGTATGGAACATAACATTTTGTTTTCATTGTAATGAGTGCGGCTGATGTCGTAAAGTCATAGCACCATTAACCCGTGTTAACAGAAAACATTAATCGAGAAACAATCAAAATATGTGAGCAGCACTTTATACGTGAACTTTGTCATGAAACAAACGGGAATCGTTCGCTTATTCTTATAGTAACTAGTATATAATGCCCAAGATTGACTCAGTTGTACCTTTTTATTTCTGCCTGCTGCCAACCCGACAGTCTCTATCTATAGGGACTGTCTTTATTCATGATTAACTTCAATGTACAAGTTCGGGTAAGATCGGGGGTTAAGGTATTTACTACGCCTCCAAGTTATCGTGTTAAGACTAGTGTTGCTTCTAGAATAATAATCGGCTGATCACACCCAAAGTTCTTAAAGAAGTAGTTTCGCCATTTGTGTAGTTAACATGTATTTAATCACACTACCCACAGTACCGCGTGTCTACCTTCCAATATTATGACTTTTTTCATTTAGACGGAACACAGTAGTGTACAGCATTATACTCTTACAACTACGTGTGATATATTGTGAGGTTTGTAATCAATATGGTACATTACCCTTGTTATACTGAGACGTTATGTGCAATTACGTAATAGCAAGCGAACTAGTTTCCTGTTTATATTTCTTATTCATTCTAATATTTATTTATTTAAAAAAAAGTTAATCGAAAAATCTAGAAAATAAAGTAAACATGGCTGCCACCAAGGTTTGGCCGGGCTTCACACAAAGAAGTTCGCTGATTCTGTTCTAAACATTTTGGATTTCGGTATTCCCATGATATATCCTTGGAAGGAAAAGATGTATAATATTAAGGTTATTACAAAGATACCTAAAAGTATGCACTCAGACAGTACATCATCGCATCGACCTCCACTGCGCGTCGGTCGATACTGCCGCTGTACTGTCTTTGTGTATACTTTGATGTATCCTCGTAATAACTTCATATTATGTTATATGCTTCATAGATATACATTGACGTAGAGGGCGAAGCAATTCGCTCAATATTTGCTTGGCTGTAGTGTTTATGTGTATACTAGTATATATTTGTGACGCTTAAATGTAATCCGCACCAGACTGAAAATAACCTAACCCAATTTATCCACGGCTCGGCTGCTTTCGCTCTTGATGATTTTTTCTTGCTAACGCAAGTGTAAAATTACATCGTCTTGTATGTTACAGCCACCGGGACAAGGATCGATCAGAATTACTTGGCATAGTTGTTCGTTTCTACAAGAACATGGTCAGGCATGTCGATTGAATTACCAGATGATTTAACCTGATCAGGTTGGTTTATAAATTTTATATTTATATCATATTTTGTCTTGTGCATGGTTTCGTTCATTTTGAATTAACACATGCTTCGCTGTGGCGTGCCTACGGAAATGCGGCATTGATTCGTCGGGAATTTTGAATGACGGGACGGAAATAGATGGTAATGTACATATTTCTTTCGTTAGAAAATTCTCACTTGTGTTGTTGTTAACGTAGTATTTAATTGCAGTGCTAATAATGCACGGGACAGCCTGTCGTTTTCGTAAACAGGCGCATAATGGTCGTATACGTGCCTGGGGGTTAATTATTCGCTTTGGTTCATCTTTGCCAGCGGATTTGTCTATTTTTATTTCTCATCAGATATTGTGTGCAGACGTCAACGGACCCACATAACAACGGAAGTTCACATATATTGCTGACGTGCTGAGCACCGACTAGTCGATGGATGTAATTGGTGGGATTAGGGACGGAAATCGTCATAAATGAACACATTCTGGCTATATTACAGAGAACCACAATTTGAAATCACACATCCAAAAAAACGGTTCGCTGGGTTGTTTTCATCTTTCCATTTACCTCTGTACATCTCATCGAAGATTGTTTCAATATTATACGCAGCGCTGGATAATGAAACTATATTTTCCCGACAATGCTAGCGCTGAATTCACCTTGATCTACTTTGAGTCATATCCGCTTCCTGCGTTTACGACAGCGACAGAACACGTTGCCGGGGAGTCGCATCATCGAGACAAAACCCGTCGCGTTTCATAAGTGAGCAGTATGGAGAGTAGCCACGCAGTCGACTACGAAATTTATTCGTATAATATGAGTGGCAATTATTCAGGTTTTGAGCTCATGCCGTCGTTTGACGATTATGCGCTAGCGAAAGTGATCGTCTGCTGTTTCATGATTTTCTTCTCGACGGTTGGTAATGTTGCTACGTTTATCACTTTATATCGTATACGTCGACGGAAGTCTACAGTAAATATGCTGATACTGCACCTGGCCATTGCAGACTTAACCGTCACGTACACCCTAATGCTGTCCAACGCCATATGGTATGGCACGGTCAGATGGCTTGGTGGGAACTTTATGTGTAAAATCGTCAAGTTTCTAGTGATGTTCGGGCTATACATGTCAACTTTTATCATGGTCGCCATCAGTGTCGACCGGTACATAGCCATTATTCACCCGTTGAGTCGTAATCAGGGTCCACAGCGAGTGAAAATAATGATCATGGTAGCATATGCCTTCAGTGCGCTGTTTAGTCTACCACAGGTAAGTGGAACGAGAGTATTATACCTAACGCTAAAATACAGTACAATTTGACGTGAATAAAGACAGTTTTTCTACGGTTCCTTTTGTAACATATCTGGCCCATTGTACGAACACAATACAGTCTGGTGTAGTATGCCTAGCTACTCAGACACATAATACAGGTGTCATTGTGTAATTAACTATAAAATGTGTGTTTTGGACCATATATAAATTCAAATTCCAGAAATGTTTTAACGCCCAACTGAAAAACTCGACTCATCGGGAGGGGTTTTATTTTTGTCGGTGTGTATTATCAGTATGTTCGTTAATACTGGGAGTAGTAATCATTTATAAGCATAACTGTGAATTGATATCAAATGAGACAATCATATTTACATGACCGGGTGCCACGAAAATAACCTTGGATGAACAAATTATAACTTACGGTGTATTGTGGTTAACCTAACGATAACCTAAGAACACACCTGTTTATCGGTATTTTATGCGTCAGAAAATAGTTCTCATCGTTGCATTGTATGCCTCTATTTATCACTTACCGTGCTAGCTTACTACATCCATTTAGTCATTCATTGGAACACACGTGAAAACGAAATATACATTTCAACGCGACCTCGACTTAATTGATAAAAATGGGTTGGATGTGTATGCTGTTATTTAAATGCTTTGGCAAGTGTCTTCTGTGGCCGTACGTGTGTGTATTTTCATTGTCGGGATCTACTGTTCAGTATTGCCGCGGCTATGAAACAAATCATACTCGGCTAAAAAAAACATATAAGTGTTGTCACATTTGATTAGTGTTTTTCTATGGCATCAGATATGTCACAGTATCATTTCATATGTATACAGTCTATCTCATATCTTCACCGGCTGATAATTAGAGAACGGAATTAATATGATTGTTACATCTGTCACACCGTATCCCGGTAATCGCGCTCGTGATTAATTTCCCAACCTCATTTCATATCTCATTTCATTCACTGAGGTAATATATGCCAAACTCCGTATACCAACGTGCTTTGTTATATTTCGCCACTTGCGCGCATCGGGGCTATTTATACAGTGAGCAGACGGTGGACCCTTCCTTTGTTTTCATCTGTAGGTTTTACTGATACCTACTGAGTTGAAATTGGTTTTATTATGTCTAAAAGTCACGTGGCCATCATTTAGTGTAAATAGACTTTTCTTTACGAATACTTTCATCTCAATTCCAGTAAAAAGCGTTTTTTATTCCAAAGGCATTTTCAATCGTGAGTAACTCTACCAATGTCAGTTGATTGGCCAATTTCCGGTCTTAAACACGCGTACATTCACATAGAACATAAGAATTTTAAGCAAAGTGAAATAAAACACGTGTGTTCTAAAATAATTAAAATGTCACCAAATTAGTATTTAATAGTATGAAAAATAACAATCAATAATAAATATATGTGTTTTGGTGGGTGGGGGAAATCATAATATTCAAATTAGCTAAACTGTACATGGGTTCGATATATCGAATATGTTTTTATTTTCAATGTGAACAGTTGACCGATGACAGTGAGATCATTGCCGAGATGTGTGAGTACAATAATACCAATACTTTGCGACGAATTCTAAGGTTTAAATCTTTGATTGCTATCTGTATCTCATAAACTCTATTGTTCTATAATATTATGTTAATTGGGGCATAGAAACAGAATGACGCAACATGTTGATTGATATTAATTGAAGGTAATTTAAAATTAAATATGTTATTTCCTATTATATCAGTTCTGTACTAAAGAAACATAAATTTCTAATTGGAATATATTTTCCTGTAGATTGCCGGGAATATAAGTATTTAATTCACAACAATTATTTTTGTTAAATGTCAAACTTTAAATTGTTCCAATTAACTTTAACCAAGGAAACAGTCCTAATTATTATCATGTTTCTATTGTGCAGTTTATACCTGGATATAAACTGATCACTAATCAACGCACATGAATATATACGAATAAGATTATAATAACTGGAACCATCAGCTCCTTATGTACACACAATAAAATGACACTAAGAATGACGATACACCAAACAACTTTAATGCAGCTTGAGATATCGAATCATATATTTCCTGACTAGTATAGTGATGTGATAGATATAGACATTTAGAGAAATGTTTTACGACGAACTTGGAATACTACGTTTCACTGAAACACAAAAATAATCATAATAATAATAATAATCCACTTTATTTATTTGGTGTCTGACTTGTATAGGAAGTGAAAGCATATAGATATATTCAAAAAGAGCGAACCCGTGATGTCCATGGAATTGATAACACGAACCAATGCTGTCTATGAAACCGACAACCCAAACCAATTTATTACTGTTTTCTTGTACCGATGTCGCCCGGGAAACTATGACAATGAGCTAACGTTGCCCATGCCACTTTTACCTCGACCCATTGTTGTTCATGTAACTGCTAGCCCAAATCAATGGTGTCTATGCATCTGTAGATCGACCCAATATTGCCCACGAAACAGTTAGCTCAACCTAGTATTGCCCATGAAACAGTTAACTCGACCTAGTGTTGCCGTGAAACAATTAGCTCGACATAGTGTTGCCCACGACACAGTTAGCTCTACCTAGTGTTGTCGTGAAACAGTTAGCTCAACCTAGTATTGCCCACGACATAATTAGCTCTACCTAGTGTTGTCTATTAAAGTGTTAACACGACCCAGTGCTGTCCATGTAACTGTTAGTTCGACCCAATGTTGTCAATGTAACTGTTAACTCGAACGAGTGCTGCCAATGTAACTGTTAACTCGAACGAGTGATGTCAATGTGACTATTAACTCGAACCAGTGTTGTCAATGTAACTGTTAACTCGAACCAGTGTTGTCAACGTAACTGTTAGCTCGATCCAGTGTTGTCAATGTAACTGTTAGCCCGATCCAGTGTTGTCAATGTAACTCTTAACTCGACCCAGTGTTGTCAATGTAACTGTTAGCTCGATCCAGTGTTGTCAATGTAAATGTTAGCTCGATCCAGTGTTGTCAATGTAACTATTAACTCGAACCAATGCTGTCAATGTAACTGTTAGCTCGATCCAGTGTTGTCAATGTAACTGTTAGCCCGATCCAGTGTTGTCAATGTAACTATTAACTTGAACCAGTGCTGTCTATGTAACTGTTAGCTCGATCCAGTGTTGTCAATGTAAATGTTAGCTCGATCCAGTGTTGTCAATGTAACTATTAACTCGAACCAATGCTGTCAATGTAACTGTTAGCTCGATCCAGTGTTGTCAATGTAACTCTTAACTCGACCTAGTGCTGTCAATGTAACTCTTAGCTCGATCCAGTGTTGTCAATATCAATGTTAGCTCGATCCATTGTTGTCAATGTAACTATTAACTCGAACCAGTATTGTCAATGTAACTGCTAACTCGATCCAGTGTTGTCAATGTAACTCTTAACTCGACCCAGTGCTGTCAATGTAACTGTTAGCTCGATCCAGTGTTGTCAATGTAAATGTTAGCTCGATCCAGTGTTGTCAATGTAACTATTAACTCGAACCAATGCTGTCTATGTAACTGTTAGCTCGATCCAGTGTTGTCAATGTAAATGTTAGCTCGATCCAGTGTTGTCAATGTAACTGTTAGCTCGATCCAGTGTTGTCAATGTAACTATTAATTCGAACCAATGCTATCAATGTAACTGTTAGCTCGATCCAGTGTTATCAATGTAACTGTTAGCCCGATCCAGTGTAGTCAATGTAACTATTAACTCGAACCAGTGCTATCTATGTAACTGTTAGCTCGATCCAGTGCTGTCTATACTAGCGATAGCTAGACTTTGGGTTACTAATGTAGTACAATGCCAATTATAGACTATAATCGTGAATGCACGCTCATTAACAGACGAAAAAGGTCTGCATATTTTGAGGGGAATCATTGAGCTGTACGATGCTACATGTTTTGACAGAATATTTGGTGATTATCTTGAAAATCCATTGTTACTTCAATAAAAATACCTAATTACAAATTCTTTGCTGGAACTATTCACGGTTGTCCACATACGATTCCTAATGCGTTATTACTCTGGCAACCCCAGTCGGCTGAATAATCTGTCTGCTTTAATTTATTAAGAAACTAAATGAAATCGCAGTTGCACTTAATTAGTTGCTACTTTTGTCGATAGGTTGTCATAGTAACCAATTTGTCAGGTCATATTATCAAGATTACTTGGTGGCCTCAATAATATCGACGATCAGTATTTCGAATGCAGTGGTTTGAATGAGCTTTTTGCTATTAAGATTGTTCTTCATTAACGGTGTTCCACCCACATATATTTTTATTCGTCATATACAAAGAGTCACATTGGACATTTTAAAATAATAAAATGTGAAAAATATATTTATATATACCAGAAAATCGAAATAGTTTGTTGTTAATATCACAAAATTCATTAGAATCTCGTCTCGATAAAATGTAGAATCAATTTACACGCCGATTTAGTTTTAATTGAATCACATTGCAGCAGTATAACAGAAAACAGTTTATTTTAGTAGGTAATCCTCTGGCAAAACAGCTTGTCTATGTTAATGAAGATTTTGATTCAGAAGTGTAGATAAAAAAAATATTAGAATAGTCAGCAGACTATTCTCATGATTGATAGCTTTGTACAGAAACGACGCTCTTTCAATACTATAATCATTATCACATACTTGTTGTATGTTGTCCATTGTAAAAAACAAAAACAAATACGGACTGTGAAAGACAGCTTTCACGTATGCAAATTATATTTGTAGGTACGTTGTTGAGATATTACAGTCCACCACAGAATTGGTGACCCCTGGTTATCAACTGTGTTTGTCTGCATTAAACGGGGAATGCTTCTATGGTATTATAGTTGGCTGATAATGTGTGCATGCTGCAACAGAATGTAAAATATGATTTGACGCTGTCGTTGATTAGTGTCGATAGTTCAGTTGAAACTACATAATATAAACAACAATAATAATTACATTTCCACAAGTTA